TGAGTGATTTGAAGAAGAGAAGGAGAAGAATCAGCTATCAGGTCATGGTGCGCAAGGAAAGGGCGATCGAGGGGTATACGTGCTATGTCCTGGTCGCGTCTCGGTGATGCCAGAGTAATTGCGGCTCTTCCCGCGCGCCAAGACTCCTCCTCAACGCACTAGGCCCATACAGTCGCAATTCTGGTACCTATGCCTGGGTCCTTTGATCTTTTCCACCGCACGTCGAATCTTAATCCACACCTTTGTCCTCATACGCCAACAAGTTGCGATCACAGAGCGTTCATACATGGCCACACTATAGCGAACCGCCTTAGCTAAAACAACCTTGGAAGCTACACCCCGCATTAGCGAACTCCAGGCAGCACTATGGCCGTCCCTCAGGCTCAACGTCTGCTTCGTCATCGGATTACAGCTCCATGCTTTCACAATGTCACTTTGCTATCTTTGCAGCGGCCTGACTTTCTCGAATCTCTACCCCCCGAACTTCTATCGCCATGCCGATGATCTGGCTGCATTGGAAGCGTCGGCCGCAGGCTGTCGTCTCTGCAGGATGCTGCGCGGTTGCATCAATGAACACTCAATGCAATCACAACTATATCTTGAAGGCACTACTTCTCTTGAAGGTCGCAATGGCTTCAAGGCTTCTCTTAAATTACAAATCATCCCGGGCAGGTTGTACCCGCGGCACCCAAAGATGAGAGGCGCTTCATATGTAGGTATCTGGACGAAGTGGAAATGGGCGGTAGCCTGTATGATTTTGTCGGTCGAGGAAGGTACTGAAGCGTGCTGTTCTGTTCTGCATTGTCTAATCACCTTCTCTAGGTGACAAGTTGGGCTCAGAGCCCATTCTGCCCGGCATAAAATACTCCTTCGTTTCCGGTCGTGTTCAACTAAACGACTTGCCTTCCCAGGCTTATTTCGATGTCCTCAAGCGCTGGTTGGCCGACTGTGAGACCAATCACACAAGGTGTCGCAACGATACTCCGATATTTCCAAAGCGAGTGATACATGTGGCCGAAGAGGGTGAAAGCCCATATCTTGTACGAGGTGAGGGTATATACGCTCGCTATGTGGCTCTGAGTCATTGTTGGGGCCATTCAAGAGAAGGTATGACCACGACCAAGAATCTGGAAGCACATACGCATGCCATAGATTGGGCCGCGCTTCCGAAGACGTTCAAAGACGCCATAATCACTTGCCGTCGGCTTGGTATCAAGTACATATTTATCGACAGGCTGTGTATCGTGCAGGATTCGCAAAGCGACTGGGAAGAGCATTCGGCGTTCATGGGCTCAATCTATCATGATAGCACCGTGACACTGGCAGCATCAGTATCCAACGACTCTTCAACCGGGATCTTTGTCCCGTTCCGTCCACCTGAAAATTTCAGGAACGATGTCGTCGCACTTCCGCCATCATTTGGAAACTACAAAGGACAGGCTTTCATCGCCGCCCCCACTCTCGTCGATGACTGCATTCAGGTACGCTTATCGGCCGATAAATCCGGCTTCAACGTCTTGGATTCTAGAGCATGGACGATGCAAGAGATGTACTTGTCTCAAAGGATGATACGCTTCCTTGAACGCGAGGCGGTTTGGTGCTGCTGCGAAACATCACAAGATCAGAATGGGCAAGTCAGGAGCGCGGAATATACCCTAAGTGTACGGAACAACCTGGAGTTCCTCGCCAGGGCCTTTCAGAGGCCTTGGTTTCTTGAGGACCCAGGAGACGAGAAGGATCGGGAGACAACAATATGTTCGAAAGACAGCTTCGTATGTGATGTTAGCCAAGCGGATGCTTTGAAAGAGCATACTCGTCTCGTAACATCAGAGCCATTGCATATTCTGTCCCATGTTACTCAGGGCGGAAAAACACACCATGTCCTCGATCTTCGCGCGCCTGTGTATCGCAATTCTACTCCACCGACCCTAATCCGAGCAAGCGACGACCGTGCTTTCTACTTGTTCCTCATACGCATCATACAGTCTTCCATACACGAACTATGGTACTCCGTGGTAGATACGTACAGCTTTCGTCAGCTTACGTTCCCGTCAGACAAGTTACCAGCCATCGCAGGCATAGCATCACGCGTACAGGAAATCACACATGATTACTATCTCGCAGGTCATTGGCGCAGAGAAATGGAGCGCTCGCTGTTCTGGGAAGCTTTCACAAATGATCTCTGCGATCCTCCCGCTAGAGCGGCCAATTATCGAGCGCCTTCCTGGAGCTGGGCAAGTATTGATGGGCTCATACACTCGCCTTCACATGACTTAGCTCGTGGTGGAGCCATTCCTCCACCTATCCAGATAGTCGATGTGAGCACTCGGATCGATGGCGATAATCCCTTTGGATCCGTTAGCGACGCGAAACTCATTATCAGGGCTCACTGCGTGAAAGCTTTCTGGGATGCTGAACGTGCGAAATTCCGTTTGGTGGGATGCTTTGAACCTACCCCACCAGGACATGTACTAGGTGAAGCCAAATTACATTTCTCCTGTTTGGATAGTCTTGACGGTACTTCGACTGGGTACTGGCGCTACGACGACCGAAAGCATGGTGTTCTACCTGGCCCGCCTCTTGGTCGTTCCCCTTTGGATGAAGAGTTGGACTCTAGATTGACGTGCCGATTTCCGATGGAGATTACCACATCCCACGCTTCCATATATAATAGTCTTAGACAACCCCCGGTACCGGAGAGATTTACATATGTTCCGGAGGAACTCACTATCATCAAGGGGTGTACTTGGGAAGACTCAGTAATGACTTACGTTGAGGTTTTAGTCTTGGCGGCAGTCGAGACCGGGAACGGTGTGTTTAGAAGGGTTGGTAAAGGGACACTGTACAGTTGGGATGAAGAGGCGGAGAGTGTGGAGACTTTGACCATTGTATGAGCGAAAGCTTTCACCGCTTCGTCGATCTGGCTGCTGCGCGATCTTCTTCAAAGTTCCGACTACTCCAGGAGGGTCATTGAGGATACCAACCGGAAAATCCCATGGACATCCCCTATACTGTCATTCACTCTGCGTTGCCTGTTTGTCAATGTTTTCTTACGTTGCGCATGCTAGCAGACCTTTCTCACAATGGGCCTCCGACACTACGGCGCACGTTGTAATCTGACAGGGTGTCAGAGCAGGCAATGAAATAGCGACAAAAATCTTCACGAGTTCAACCCCACAGCAAACAAATTCCAGCCCACTTCATTCGAGCGACACGAAAATACCGAAACAAGATGAGCGACAATCCGATTACAAGTATTTTCAACCACATTCTCACAACCAAACTATATGCTTTTCCACGAGGCCCAACGGAGGCGCAAGAGTTTCTGACCGCCGTGTTCCGTGCCCCATTGGAACGTCTGGGCTTTCCGTCTCAGCCCATACCATCTCAAACCGGAGTATTTGACACATGGTCCATTCGGGAAATCGATGACGTGGAAGACGCTACCTGGACAGATGACGATGATTGGAACGCGATTTTCCTACGTGACAGCATGGAGGAGCTTTTTACCCAGCTTTATGGAAGAGACAGCCCAGTGTACGCCAACTGGAATGACCATGTTAAGCGTTCAATCGGGAAGGCTCACACCCTGACTCTTCTGGACGCAGCTGCAATCACTCCTCCGTCATATTGGTCTGAGGATATTAGAACCACAGTAGAAGCCTTCACTGCACTTCTTGAAGCCTTCCACAATGTCAAGGGAATTGTCTGGACTGATTACCCATACGATGACGCTCTTGATGGCCGCCTCGGTCGATGCAACGACTACGCCTTCATCCAGCGACTTATATTCAACGAGTGTCGTCTTTACGGAAAGTCGCTAGACGATTACGAAGCTAGCATGCGTCAAATACGGGAGAAATTCGGTATACCAGTGGAATTCGATCTCAACGAAGAACTGCAACGGATTAAGATGGCCTATGACCAGCAACACTACGAAATCGAAGAAAGGTTGTCGGAAGCGTCAGAAATGGAACGGGTAGGCCCAATGATTCCTGTCACCGATGTGTCCACAGAGATAGAGGACCCAGAAGGCGTGGACTGCGTAGTTTGTCGGTCTGACATCTGCCCTTTCCCCGGAGTACTGACTGTTCCTTGCCAACATGCTTATCACAAGGAGTGTCTGGAGCTCTGGATTCATGCTGGGCAAGGGGCTAGCCATCTTTGCCCCTACTGTCGCACAGAGTTATTTCCCGAACCGGAGTATCGGGAACTTTTTCGCAACTACGAGGAAGAGCGTGACGACATTGAGGACCAAATGTACTGGCACTCTTGGATACAGAAGTCGGCGGAGTGGTTTGAGGGTGAACTGACTATGCAGAGGGGGTATGAGAGGTCAGAGACGAAGAAGTTGGACTTAGAGTGGCTTCGAAAGATAGGCGCACTCATTGCTTCGGGTAGTTTGGGGAAAGGATAGCTTCACCCGTAATACTCTTGGCGCATAACTAGGTATCCGGGTTTAGCATTAGTATTTTGACTATAAAATCTATTCCTTGTCAAATAAAGGATGTACTTGGACTTTGCGACGTGAAGGATGAGAGGCACGCTCGGCAAGACTGTCCAGGTGACTAGCTGCCACCGATCACTTCAGCATACCATGATGGCTACCTAGGCAACATGATGCATGGCAATTTTCGTACTCACAGATCTGCGGGTGAAGCCTGTATATTCTTTCAACGCGCAACAGGCACCAATCACGTGCGGGGTGTGAACGGGCTGCCCCACTCGCTCCATCCTCGTGGTAGAGCAAACACGTGAAGCTGGTACCTTCCACTTCCGAATCTCTCCACTCCATCCCACTCTCGAGTCACCACGACCGTGAAAATCCAAGAACAATCTCTGCAAGCTTGCGCAATCATGTCCGCCGAACCCCAAGATTTGGTTCCGCCAATAAACATTGCGCCGGCGAGCGCTGCAGGTACATAACTCACCTGCATGCCCTGCATCGATTCTGGAATCATTTACAACGAGCCTCTCCACCTTGAGATTATCTGCTAACGATGGCAGTATACCGTCGTGTGCGTACGCACTTACGTGGCCTACGAGACCTGCGCAAGTTCGGCTATAGGCACAAGAACCCCAAAGACGTACTTTCCATGACACCCGCAGAACTTCGGAAGCTAGAGCAACATCACTTTCCAAGTCCAGCAAATATCTGTCGTCTCACCGGCATGAGCGATGAAGAGACTGAACAACAAGCCGATGCCGCGCGGCGGTGGCTACTGGGTATGCTCGACTGCCACGACAGAACAATGACCCGGGAACACGAGATAAGGATGTTTAGATTCGCTGTGGAGAAGCAGATAGAAGAACAAGAGAAGGACTGGACAGATCTGGAACGACTATACATGGCACTCGCAAACAGCAATCTCGCATCGCCGCAAGAGCGATTGCAGGCAGCTTTCGTGACAGTCCTTCACTTTGACTACCCGCAACGCCGGCGAGATGTTAGTGAGGTCGCCCAAAAACTGGACGAGCGGCTGAAACGTGCATCCGACATGGACGCCGGGATAGATGAGACACGCGAGGTTATACTCGCCAGGACTGAATTTACCAACGTCGACCATTTCGCGTGCGCCATTCCACTTTCACTACTCACCGTCACAGCAGACAACACTTCTGTGGTCGATGACAATGCCGGCTGCTGCCCGATCTGCCAACTCTCATACACCTCATTCCAAGACTCCTCTGTCCTACAACTGTTGGGTGACTATCCAGTGCGAATCAAGCAGTGCGGTCATATCATTGGGAAGTCGTGTCTAGAGCAGTGGATGAGGACGCCAAAGATCGATGAGGCAAAATACCCACATCGCACATGTCCGTGCTGCCGCGTCAAGATCGAAGGTGTGAAGTCGCCCTCAAAACCTCGCGGGCTACTCGATCATTTGAAGACCGATCGACGAGCCATGGAGACAGTAAGAGAGTTGCTGTACGGGTACGACATGGACCTCGAAGAGTGTCTGAGTGCAATCAGCGCGTGTATGAGCGAAGAGATCGCCTGCGAGGAGATGGTGGCTGAGCTTGTACGGAATGGTGGAGAGCAAGACGACCAGATACTGAAGGACAAACTTGCGAATCTGGAGAAGGAGAAACGGGCTTGGGGGTTTAGAGGAAATGGAATCTGGAAGAGGCTGCGAGAGGAATGGATGAACAGCGGTGTTACCCGGAAGGCTTGAGGAGGACGACAGCCAGGTCTCTGGATGTCGCCGGGAGTCCTCTGGTACTGTCCAGTCTCTCGGACTCATGCTCAACAAGAACATAATACTGTGGGCTCGGACGAAGGCATGCGGATCTCGTGGATATCGGAAAGGGCCGAACGAGCAGCTCGTATCTAGGAGCTCTTGGCTCACGAGGCAGTGCAAGCTGATGAGGCATTTTCTTTCAACCGTTTCAGTCTCTCTCGAGTATACTCCGTAGTACATCAAGCTTCACGAGGAAGCTCGCTCAACAGCCAAGCAACGATAGATCGACATACCAAATGTTAAAAACCACGCATCACGAGGGGTAAACTGCCCCGCCGATGAAGTATATCGCGCACACAGCCCCCGTCTGTCAAATGTAGCCTCGTTCAACACCAAGTAAGGGCGTGCATGTGCATACACCGGCAACAAGCATCCTCAGCGCGAGGTCCGTTTGTTCATATATAATTCTGGGGCCCGCCGTTCGCGCAGTACAGATCACGACGTCACGTGCCCCACATAATGACCCTTGATTTCTCCACGTTCTCCGTGCTCTAGACCCAGAAGCAGCTACACACTTGCGCATCTCCAGGGTCTAGGCTATTGAGGCTGAGTACATAAGCCAATAAACTGTGGCGCGGGCGGCATTCTGATTGGCCCCAGCGTATGCAGGTAGAAAGGGTAGATGACGTCTTGTTTGTGAGGGTCGCGTGTGCCGCCGCTTATCAACGCAGCAGCTGTTGCTGGGCAAGGCTTGGCCTATGACGATGTATAATGCGTGTGAAAAACAAACATAGGGAGCCCCGTCTGTCGCTGCTGCCACTACATCCCACGCGAAAAACTCCATTCATTACGCAAAAACCAAGTATGAGCGTTAACATTATTGACGTTGGTGTCAGCAGGGTGCGTCGTGTGTTCCTTGCATGCTCTTCCCGCTCTTCTAGATGCCGGTTCTTCCGAGCTGAGACCGAGATCCCTCTTTACACCTACTAACGTTGTTCCCCACAGATTCTGGGTGCGAGAGAAGATCAGGAAGACCGTTATGTTACCTTGACACCGGGTTCAATCAAGGCTCGGAAAGAACTCGCTGTCTTCGCCGTGTATGATGGCCAGTAAGCAGCGTCACACAAAATCCCAAATGTTGTGGCTTGTAAGCTAACGAATGGGTTGCAGTGGGGGTACAGAAACAGTAAACCATGTTGCAGAGCATCTGCATACACACCTGGAACAGCATATCGCCATACAGAAGCCGTCCAATGTAGCCGAGTATAAGCACGCGATACAAGGAGCTCTGCTGGCTGTAGACCGCGATCTAGACCACGCCAACCTTGATGGAGGCTCAACTGTTTCTCTCGTTCTCATCGACGCAAAGCAGAGCTTGCTTATACAAGCGAACTTGGGAGACAGCCACGTCTTCTTCGCAGACCACGAGCCCCAATCCCCGCAATCGCTATCGCCACAGTCGCCCACGCGGGTAGACTCCGGCGTCAGCTCCAGCGGCTGGAACGTCGAAGCGCTCAGCGAGGAGCACGCACCCGACAGCCCACTGGAGAAACGGCGAGTAGAAAATGCCGGCGGCGAGATCAACTACCGCTCCGGCATCGCACGCATCGGCGGCGTGAGCATGTCGCGCGCACTGGGCGATTTGGACTACAAGAAACCGCGCGTGAACCGTCTAGCAGGCCACGACCTCTCCGACCTCATCGGCGTAGAAACCGGTCTCGCACCAGGAAAAACCGCAGTCCACGACCTCGTCTCCAATAAAGCGCATTTCACCACCCGCACTCTGCACGGCCAGTCGCTCATTCTCCTCGCGTCGGACGGCGTCGGTTCGGCGAAGGAGGCGGAGGAATGTACAAGGCTGGCGGTGGATGCGTGGCAATCTGGAAAAGAAGCCAAGGAGATTGCGGAGGAGTTGACGTCAAGAGAAGGCCAGATGAAGGGCGCGGACAACTGCACCGTCCTCGTTGTTGTACTGGATACAGAGAGCAAGGGACGGAGGAGTATAGATAGCGGGAGGAGGAGTATGGATATTGGGATGGAGGGAGGTGGGTCGAGGAGGAGGCGGAGATCGAGTATTGCTAGCTTGAAGGACTGGATACGAGACCGTTAGGCGACGTTTCGACATGGCGCAGCTATGTGGTACAGGAAGCGGGGAAAAGCTTGATCAGATTGAAGGGTCAGAGGGTTTACTCAAGCTTCATCGGCCTTCTATGATGCAGCAAAGGCGTTTTGGGTGAGGCGGGTGTACGCCTCATAGTTCTTTTCTTTTCAACTGATGTATCAATATATCCATATGGCAAAGAGTATGCTGGAGTGTGAGTAGTAGCACTCCTTGATCACAATTTTTGCTCATAACTCTTGTGTTTCTGCAAAGTTTTGCCCGTATCTCAGCCTTCGGGACGTCTTTCTCAGCAATATCGATACCGAGAGTCGAGCACTGATTCACCACCTCAAGAAGACTATTGATCAAAGACTTCATTATTATCGCTGTATGCCGCGCTAGTGCGCTACTATGCTCATTCGCTCTTCGCTCAATCGTTTCAACCATCGCTAGTACGACTAAACGTATCAACTGGTTCTCAACGACTACCATGAAAGCGTTGAACATCAAGGGGGGTATATCCATGCATGCCAGGACAAGCTCCTAAACGCCCAGAACACATCTCTGGGATACAACCAGAACCATCGCTCCCATCTTCGAATTCAAGGGATCCGTCTTTTTCAGGGATTCGCTCTTTTGAACAAGCCAAAGTCTGCGTCGCCTAAACCTTCCGTCCCTTTGCCATCTTAACACCCTGCATCAGCGGGTCCTCATCAACAGTCCAAGTCTGAGCATCAAGTCTCGCCCGCTTCTCTTCGCGCGACTCACCGAATGCCTCAGCTCTCTTGCCACCCTTCTTGGTACTCTGAACAGGCTCCATGGACATGGGAGTGCCGACGCGAGAGCCGCCAACCGCAGGCGTAGGCAGCGAAGTATCAGTAAGAGCAGGCGGAGACGTAACCTCATCATCAGCGTCCATCTCGTTCAGCTGACGCTGCGCCTCTTCGCGCTCCTGCGACCAGATGTCATGCTGATCTTTGTACTGCTTCTCCATGTTCGCGACCCACTTTTTCTGCTCCGCGCTCTCCTCGCCCGACTCAACGCACGTGGGACATTTGATGTAGAAGCCACCGGTTGTGTGCTGCTCGCCCATCAGCTCGAATTCCGGAAGGGTGTCGCCGATTAACTCGGTCTCGTCCCAGTCGAGACAGTCCTCGCAGAAGCCTTGGGGACACCAGCGGCAACGGAAGATGAGACCGCCGGCATCGTTGGTGGTTTTGCCGCAATCAGTGCAGTTATGCTGGGAACAGTAGAAGCCGGCGAAGCCCTTCACTTTTGCCTTGTACTGGGAATCGAGACAGTCGTAATGATAAGCACGGGGGCAACTCTTGCATTCAACCAGGTGTCCGGCATCTGCGTCTTCGAAGCAGCCGAGACAGTGGTCTTCATGGGTGATTTCGCGGCGCTTCTCGCGGACTGGTTCAGCGAGGCGAGGATCTTTGCCTGCGAATGTCGGCACCGCTTCCCAATCACCACAATTCATGGATTCTTTATTAATAGCAAAGCCATCTACCATGACGGTAGTGTTCTTTCCCTTGCGGCGATCTTCGCGAGTGATGGTGTCTGGAAGAATGTTCGCCGCCGAGGTATTGGCCTTCCAGCTGGTGTCAAGCTGGCGTTGATGACGCTTGCCTTCGAACACGGCGCATTCCACTCGCTCCATGGTAGAGAGCCATTTGTCCTCATCAACCTCAGAGTGCGTCGCTGAATCGGTCAAATCGGCAGGGGCATCGCGGCACTTGGCCATCATAGTCTCTAGATCCCAAGACACCATCTCTTTGACATCAATTTCTGGATGCGACAATGCCTGGGCGCCTCGCCGTACAAGCGTCTTGAGCTGCGTGGCATCCATCTGTGGCAAGTCTTCACTCAGAGACGGACGTCCTGCCTTCTTGGTGTCGGCCATCTGCTTGCCATGCACGCTCTGCATCGACTCGGTGATCTTTGCCGAGAGGTAAAGCTTCTTGCGAATACGACCCATCATTTGCTCTTCGACAGTACCCTGAGTACAGAGCTTGTAGATAGTCACCTTCTTGGTCTGCCCAATGCGATGAGCTCGGGCCTCAGCCTGGAGTGTGATCTGCGGATTCCAGTCTTCGTCGAGGAAGATGACATCCTGGGCGCTCGTGAGGTTGATACCCAAGCCACCGGCGCGTGTCGAGAGAAGCATGACCTTGTAGTCGGAATCCTTCTGGTTGAAGAGGCGGATATCCAGATTACGGCGAGCCCGAGCTGTGCTACCGTCCAGACGAAGGGACTTGAAGCGCTCTCCATGGTTGCTAATGAGAGACAGGAGATCTTCACAATAGTCGAGCGTGCGAGTGAAGCCAGAGAAGATAAGGACCTTCTTGCCTTCGTTGAATACCGTGTGCTTGAGAAGCTTCTCCAAGAGGATGAACTTTCCGGATGCGCGAATGATGTGGTCGCTGAGGTAATAGGGATCGGGCGAGACACCGGGGAGTAAGTACGGATGCGAGCAGCACTTTCGTAGCTGCATGACGAGGTTCATAAGCTTCTTCCAGGCTCCCTTGTTGGTGTCGGTGTCGGTCTGCTCCTTTGCAACGGCTTCTTGCAGAATTTTGGTGGTTTCTTCCCAATCAGCCTCGGCACCGCCGGAGTTGACCACCTTGTCTACTTTCTCCATCTTCGCCAGTAGTTTGTTCTCTTCGATGTCCTGCTCGATGGCGGCCTTCTCCTTGGATTTGCCATCAGCAAAGAGCTCGTCGAGCATTCCATCGTCCATACGTGTCAAAAGACGGGTGTACCAGAACTTCTGCATAGGAGTCAAGGGTACATAGAGCAGGATTTCCTCCTTGGGCGGTAGGCCGAGGTTGACAGAGGGAGAGTCCTTCATACGTCGCAACATGATGAGTTCGAGCAAGCGGCGGGCGTCTGTCATGGTTTGCTTGTTCGCTTTGCCCTTACTCAGATCGAAAGACTCCTTAAAAAGTGTCTCGGTCTTGTCGTCGAAGACGTTGGGGTACAGCCATGTCAGAAGCGACCACATCTCGACCAAGTTGTTCTGAAGTGGTGTTCCAGTCAAGATGAGACGATACTCGGCACTGATGCTCTTGAGGGCTGTGGAGATCTGGGTGACACTGCTCTTGATCTTGTGCCCTTCATCCAAGACGACGTAGCGCCAGGCGAAACTGTGCTTGAACCATGATTGCTCAGCCTGGAAAGTCTCGTATGTCGTAACAACAATCTTGAAGGTGTCAGATTGTCGGTCGTTGGAGGTGAGCTTGGCCGCCTTTCGGCCAGCCTTGCGCGAGGCTTTCCGATCTTTGGCGCGCGAGGTTTCGTTGCCCTTCATGTCCTCCATGCCAGCTATGACGCGCTTCAAGCGGGTTCGCTCGGTGACGGCGCCGTGGAAGCGCATGACCTTGAGTTGTGGTACCCATCTCTGGGCCTCGGTGACCCACGAGTTGAGTACACTGAGGGGGCATATGACGAGATAAGGTCGAAGCTCTTCTGATGTGACACCATTCTTCTCGTCCAGCTCTTCAAGATACTGGAACAGCGATAATGTCTGTAGCGTCTTTCCGAGACCCATCTCGTCGCCAAGTATACCGGAGAACCCGTTGTTGTAGAGATGAACCAAGTACGACAGACCAGACAGTTGGTATGGCTTCATGACAGCGGTGACGCCTTTGGGTTGCTCCGAGAGCTCTTCGTACTCGATGATGGGCTGAGCATCGCCCTGGGCGACAAGCTTCGCGACCTGGTTGTTCTTGGGCAGAAGTGGGAGGAAGAGGTCTTTGTTGGCGACGAGGAAGCTGTTCGCTCTCGCCTTGGTCTTCTTAGCGATGTCGTCGCGGAGACGGGCACGAGCGGTGTCGAGGTTGGGCGGCGGCCGGGCTGACTTCCGACGGGGTGGTGACGGGGTAGGCATGGTGTCGGACTCCAGGATAGTGCTCTTCCTATCGCGGGTGCTCCGACGAAGCCCGCCAGATTGTTGGCGCTCCTTCTTGCGTTTCTCCATCTTCAGTTCCTCAGTGTAAGCTGAGATTCTGGCGCTTGTCTTGCGGTTCGGGCGGGCTGAGGGGGCAAGCTCGTCTTCGCTGGTTCCCGCGTTGGCGCCAGCTCGTCTTGTGGAGGCGCGAGGGTACTTGTCGGCGACGGTCCTGGGCTTGTGGTCAGGCGTGGATGGCGAGGCTTCGTTTGCGGATGAGTCGGAGGCGACGTAGTTTGGCGTTGGTTGCGCGCGCAGGCTGCGTTTGTTGTCGCTAGTCTCGTCTTGCTTGGTCGCCTGCTGCGAAGAGATGCGTCGTCTCTTGGTGGCCGACTGGGCTGAGCTCTCGGATCCGAACTGCGCCAGGAGGTCTTCGTAGATGCCACCTCGTTTCTTGGGGGTGATCGGCTGGGGCGAACCCAGGGTGATGATCGAATGTCCCGCCATGACGAGAACTGTGGGGTATCTTGTAGGCAGGTCTTGCGCAGTGATTGTAAATTGGCAAGGGGTGTATAGTACAACGGAATTGACAGAGGGTTGTTGTCGCAGGGCAAAGAAAGACAAAGCACAGCAAGAAAAGTCTTAGACAAGGCCGGTGACGGTGAGGATGAAATGAAACGACGCAGCGTGCCCAAAGGAGCGTGATAAGACGACTGGGCGTCTTCACGGTGAAGTGAAGTGAAGCGTCGCCGCATCGCCAGGCGCGGCGGCGATACGTCGATTGCGGCCGACGCGTCCTAGCGCGACTTGCAGGCGTTCCTTCCGGAACCGTTCCGAGCTATCAAGTCTATCCAACGCCGCGACCTCCACACGTCGACATTTCGCGAATCAAGTCCCCACGCCCGCGCATCTGGCGCAACACCCTCGACCACCATGGCGCAACAGCCCATGACGCCCTTCTTCCCCATCTTCGCCTCCAAGTCGGATGGGCAGCACATCGTCAACCTCAAAGGCCGGCCGCTCAGAAATGGGCCGACCGAGGAACAGCTCAACACGTCGCCCAACGACCAGGGCCAGCGCGACTTCTACCGCCTCATCGAGAAGGAAGACCCCAAGCACCAGGACTGGCGCAAGAAACTGGGCGGCATGCTCCTGCGCGAGATCGGAGGGAAGCAGTTCGAAGGTATGGCTATGCGAGGCGCATGCGCTGCAGCGCACTGACATGTGACAGATCGGTGGCAGCAATGCATTCTGTGGGAGCTGCCCGAGAACTACGTCCTATACGAGCACATCAAGACCAAGGCAGACGGCCAGCTGAAGACAGTCAAGAACCACTCGGGCGGCGGCCACGACAGACAAGACGCCTATCTCTATGGATACCCCAAAGGCCCCAAGAAGCGCTTCAGGAGCCCCGTCGAGTTCTTCCCCCATCTCCTGTGGCTGTGCACCGACGAAAACAGCGACATGGCCAACTGCACGTGCAAGATGTGTTCGCCCGCCGGAGACGTCGAGAAGCCCCAGGCCAAGGTCGAAGTCAAGCAAGAACAGCCTGCACCCATCAAGCGCGAAAACAGCTCCAGTGGCGCTATACCAAACACAAACGTCACAGGGCGCAACCCCATAGTGCAAATCCCTGCCCGAAGATCATCGACCGGTGCGCCTATCCCGAGTCCCATCGTCAAGCCCTCGACGCCCGTTGCCGGTCCCAGGCCTGCCCCCACACCCGCCGCTGCACAGATCAGAGCTCCCCCGACATTGCAGTCAACACCTCTCCCCCAGCCACGATCCATCGAACAACAAGCCGACTTGTCATACAACAAATTCCTCTGCCGGAGCGGCGAGGTGGTGTGGTTCTTCCGCCCCAAGACATCAGCCTGGGGTCTCGGGCTGGTGGTGCGAAGATGGGCTACCAAAGAGGTGCCTATGAGCAGGGCATACCTGATTCAGCCTCTATCGCATCCTTTTGAATCGCCTCCACAAGAACTCGTGCAGACCGATGACCACGTCAAGCCTTGGCTCGCCTGGTCTGCACCCAGCTGCACGTTTCCCTTCCTACAGCAGAACCCTCAATTCGAATATCACAACACGGATTGGAGAGCACTCATTAGCGGACAGGGAGGTGAGGGCATAGCGTCTGTCGACGCGTCTATATTAGCTGCAAAAGCCATCGATACCACGTATACACTCTTCCAGTGCCTCAAGACGAACAAGGACGACAAGGGAAACGAAGTGCGACAGTATAACGGCATGTATCTGGGCGCCGAGAAGATCTGGAGAGGCGAGGCTGTCCGTCTGCGCATAGGCGCCACGGGGACCGATCTCATGGTCGTAACCGACATCATCGAGCAAGTCCTTGTCAACCCGCCCACCACCAAAGTCATTGCTATAGGCGATGTCTATAGCTACGCCACGTTGGATGCTCCAGACGCAAACCTTCCCCCCAAGCCACCTCAACAGAACAACAACATTCCCTCGCGCATGGTTCACGACATGGTATGGCGAAACCGCATGCTTGTCCCCCTCACACGCACCGCAGCCTGGTGGAAGCTCATCCAGCCAGCCTACAAGATCGACATCGACGACATCAAAGGCCGTTGGTACGAGACCAGTCTCGTCTTCCAAGAGCCCTTTGCCAAAGCAGTCAAGAACGGCGAGGGCGGAAACGGTATCTGGATGAACTCGCGTGGCGATGCAACAGGCAAGGGCAAAGGAGCCAGTGTGGCGCAACCTGACCGTATCGGTGCCTTTGGAGCCTCCGTACCCAAGGGGACACGCGTTGTCGAGGGTCTGGAACCTCCGAGCCAGCCTATGGGTCAACAACAGCAGGCGCACGATGGGATGGATATTAATATGGGTGGCGGTAATATGGCAGACCCTTTTTCCATCGACGAATTTATGCATGTTGATCATCTGGGCGATGATGCTGGGATGGAGTATGGTGGTAATAACAACTACACTTTCTAGTGAAGTGTTTTCGCTTCGTAGCAGATGGCATAGCATGGCGTATTTGGGCGTGATGGACGGTTTGCATCTCCAAAAGCATTTTCTGGGACAGGGTATACGCGTTGTTTCTATTCGTATGGGAGATACCCAGGTCGTTATTTGACTATGTAAACTATCGCTAGCTCGGTGACTGCAGTATTCAATGTAGTACAGCCCATGCTGAACAAAGCGCGAGCCGACAACAAGTCTATGCACATGACTCATTCAACCACAAGATACATACCTGAAACCTTCAAGGGCGCCCCTGTTGTTGTGAATGAATTCCAATCACGACGACGTAGTCATGGGTCATAGGCGCGAACACTCAGTGTCAGCCTTCACGGACCGTTGTAGCATAGAAACATGTAGGAATTCCCAAGCACAACTCGGTATTCTCAAAGGATTAGCAGGCAAAACTACTTGGATTGATCATGTCTACCACACCAGAAGTAGTAGAGCAGTGGCAGCCGCCCACGGAGTCACTAGGCAAAGTTCCTTTGGTGACTCCGGAAACAAGCTGTAGTAGACCCATCCAAAGCGATTTCCCACTCGATCAGGTCGTCATAGACAGTATGTATCATACATCTCACTGCGTAATATACTCAGGTAGCTATTAATTGTAGAGCAGAACTGCCTCTTGGTACTCAAGTCCACAGCTGCAACCGACACGGCGCATCAGAATGGACAGTCACCGCAAAGATAGACACCATACGCGTAGACGGTGAACCAGAGTCGTATTTCCTGAAGGTACTTACAGCCTCCTGTCGACAACAAGGTACTCTGGTAGCAATCCAGCTAACGCTCATAAAGTGCGCAGATGGCGACCAAGGCAAAGCCATGCTCAAAGGCGAATACAACTCAATGTGTGCCCTCTACAAAGCCGCACCCACCTTCGTCCCTGAGCCCCACGCATACGGCCAACTCAACGTATCAAACCCCGCCTCCTACTTCTTCCTCTGCTCCTTCCTAGACATGAAGGTAGGTACCAGCCAACCCCCCGACCCAGAACAACTATGCAGAAAACTCATAACACTCCACCTCACCAGCGAGTCACCGACTGGCCAATTCGGGTTCCACATGAACACCTGTCAAGGCAACCTGCCCCAGCAAACAGCCTGGAAAGACAGTTGGAAAGACAGTTGGAAAGACTTCTTCATCCAGCTGCTTAACGGCGCTATGGAACTCAACCGCGATATCAATGGGCCGTGGAAAGATCTACAGGAATGTACTGATCGCCTGATCTCGCACGTCGTACCAGCCCTCCTAGATCCCCTCACAGAGGACGGCCGCGTTATCAAGCCTTCGTTGATACACGGCGACCTCTGGGATGGCAATATCGGTACTGACACCGCGACGGGAGAAATCTACGCCTTTGACGCCTGCGCATATTACGCGCACCACGAGATGGAGATTGCCATATGGCGCGGAGATCCCAGTAACGTTTTGGGTCGGGAAGAATACACAAATACCTATGTACAGCTCATGGGGAAGAGTGAGCCGGTGAAGGACTTTGAGGATAGAGGCAGGCTTTACTGTGCTTATATGAACTTGCATGCGAGTGCTTGTCATGGGGGAGGCAGATTCAGGGAGAAGTAAGTTGGTGCCGAACGTGTGATTAAGGGGCTTGTTGCTGACTTGATGGCTTACAGATCTTATGGGATTATGAAGGAATTGATTGAGAAATACCCGCTGCGGGGTGAAGAGCAAGAGGATGTGCGTTGATTCGGTAGGTCGAATTCATGCCTGTTTGCGATAAAGATACATCATCGGGCGCGCTACATGTTTCCTGCAGTATGACACCAGGGCTTCGGGTAAAGACAGTCTCGTCTACATATATTCCTGATTTGGTGACTCTGGTTAGATTCCCAATCGAATGTCTCCAACATCTCTTCATTCGTGCAAAAGCCCCGGATCTGAGTTTGCGCGATGGTACCCTTGTCGGTTCTGCACCGGATTTGGCGCATTTGGCCATGTCTGTGTACTGGTGCGCATCCTTCCTTGCACGAAGAAGGGAGTCTCCTCGTTGCTATGCTCCTCGCTGCTCATTTGGTCTTCGACATCATGTTGCTGATGCTCTTGCGATGCTCTCGGGACAAGAGGTGTCGAAGAGTCGTCACTTATGCGCGGACCACTATGCGCGCCGAGTGGATCGACCGAGGCGTCGCCTTCACTGCGTGTTCCACGGATTGTGATTGCCGGCGGGGATGAGGAGTTTGGAATGGCCGTCGTACCGAGAACAGCATTATGCGTTCCAGCGTTGTAGTCCCTCATCTCGAACGTAGGCGTAGAGTGGCTATCGTTTCTTACACGCGCAGAATCTGCGCGATTGAGGACTGGATCGCTTGTGGAATTACCTGTCCACATAAGCGTTTTTCGTGGCTTTTCATCTGGACCGATCATGTTGATCATTTTACCGATAGCGAAAGCGAGTTTCCCTAGCTGAGTCAATGTGGCACGGGATATGCGGCGAGCGTGCATTGTCCACAATCGATATTCGCGGGTCATTCGTAAACCTTGCATGGCGTCTTGGTAGTCTTCGGTTGAGAGATGAGACTGCTGACACCATTCTACCGTGATGTAGAACATAGACAGACCCATGACTAATGCGGTTAATGAGGTACCCGATTTCCAGGTCAAGGCGATCCCATAGCTGTTCGACGTGAATTGTTGACTGAAATCAAGGTAGCCGCCACCGCCCGCCCAATTACTGGTTATGCAGTCACAGGTTCTGTACAGCCCAGTAACTTGCGCCATAACGATATACATCTGTGAGCAAGTAGTCAGTAATGTGGTTCGTCCTCAGAGAATGCAGGGGTAACTTACTAGCCATATGGTGTTGAATAACTCTATGGGCCGGAAGAAGACGAGGTCCCACTTTGCCTGCGTCTTCTCTAGGGATTTTTCGACTCTCGCTCTCCTACCTTCCCTGCGTCCCCATGGCCATTTGAGACAAATAAAGACTATACAACGAACTAGCAAGTCTCCCATGGTTTCACACACATTGGAGAAGCCTCGTCCTAGTCTCTCCCATATCGGCTGTCCGTACTTCGCCCAATGATTGAAAATGCCATGTCTATGCAGGTGTCTTTTAAGGCGCTTTAGCCAACGCGGAGTAATCTCATACGGCGAAAAGTACATCCAGACGGCCATTTCGACGATAAGCAGGCCCGTTGCGACGGTGAAGAATATGGTGTACCCTCCGCTACGACAACCGAGGCCGATAGTGGGCGTGAAGTAGCTCAAGATAAATGCGCCTCCGCAACTTCCACCGACGATGATGACAGCACTGAAGATTTGCCAGAACTCTCGGAAATCGAACCAAACCAAACCCTCGTCGTTGACGGTACCCAATACCAGATAGGCTCTTGCTTCGTGTTCGTTTGCCAGCCAGTCACGGCCCTTCTTTTGAATATAGCAATCCTCGATGTCACACAAAATGGCATGCGCGGCACCGTAATGCCACCTCACGCGCGCTTGACCTGCAAAGTTTTCGAAAAAGTCGTCCATGACCTGTGCTTTCTTTGCTACACTCCCGATCTTGACTTCCAAGTCATGGTAGTTTGGCTCGCCTTGAAAGAGTTTAAGGTACTCGCTGCGATTTGGCTCATTGTCTAAAGAATGGCGAACGTGGTCGACCAAGGTATTCAGTTTCTTGCGAATTGCTTCTGCTGCAATTGGGTTGCGGTCTACGATAGAGCCCAAGATGAGAACCGGAAACCAGGCCAGCAGACAGCCCAACGCCAGGTCGTGAGCAGTGGTGTTGGCTCCTAGTTCGCTAAAAGCATCTTGTATGGAAAGTGCGAATGCAAACAAGAACCACAAGATGGAAATGAAGACTATGACACTAGTAAGCGCGTGTAACTCTATCGGATAAGAGCGATTACCTGGTACAGTGCCTCTTCGTCTCGTTTCACGCACCTCTTGGGCCAGTTCACGTCTCATTTGATGGAGCGTCTTGTTGGTCTCTGTTAAAATCAAATCTTTGCTGAAGAGCGTAATGCGCAACAAACACTCCGCCTCTTTATGATTATCCTTCGACATGGTTGTTGAGTTCAGTGTGTACTGGTTCAGGACCAGCAAGAGGTACATTGAGTCTCGCATGCTGGCAAAGTCGGTCGTGCGATGGTTCGCACAATGAGCCGTACAATTGGCCGTGCAGTCTCTTGTACAGTTGATCTTACAATCGGGCGTACAATCGAGCTCCTTGTATTCGGGCGTCTTGTCGTCGTACTTAACAGCCATGTCGACCATCAACGCAGCTTTGGCGGACACCTTGATGTTCCAAAGTACGTAGGACAGCGATGCGATAGGCGAGCCCACCCATCGCGTAATGGCCAGCAATGTTCGACGAGCTGCGTTGCTCTCGAAGGGCGCTTGCAGAAGTATACCAATCGTTGGCAGTACCCAGGTGGTTATTACTCCGGAGATATCTCTCCACGCGTATATATCCGGTTCTGAGCCGCACACTTGTATACATCCTTCTCTTGATATCTGGGTCATGTTATTGTATACAATTCCAACGATGGTGCCGTTCCATCCCCATAAGCTGCGTAGTAACTTTCCGGCGTCGTTGTCGGCTGTGAAGCGCGCTTCACATTCCGTGAAGTTGGTCATATCGACTGGAAGGCACGCAAGGCCGGGATCGATGTGAGGTTCACATGGCGGGTGCATGTCGTCTTTATCGAAACGACACAGTGCGCCTTTGACCCAGACTGCGGTTTGTTCCTGGTGACGAGACTCACCGTAGAGACGACATGGCGGGAGCGTATCGCATTGATTACCCAGTACGGTTGCTAGGCGGCAACGCCACCCTATAACTCTGAAAGTGATTGCCTGTCAATAACAAGATATCCAGTAGGATGGTACGGATAACGAGCCTCATTGTAAACCGGTGAGCGTATGAGTACAGAAGTCAGCTCTTGTACCACCCCACCTACCCATCAAGTGGCTTGACTTCGGGCAACCCGTGTCAGCCACGCATGAAAGACGTGACGTGGTAGCTACTTCAGGCGAGTGGCCATACGTACTGGGGTTGGCGCAAAAAAGGCATACAGGCAGAAGAGATAAGGCTGAGACGGATACAAGATGAAGTTATCGGGTGTGGGGGCGGTTTACCCTCGCAACAACGCGTTCGTCATTTCGCGGCGGCAACCGCGCTCGGCAGAGCGCGCCTGCACACCACCACACATCACGTGCCGATTATGAGCCTTCCTAGGTCCTAAGAAACGGATGGCTTCAGCTGCTTCTAACTTCTGAGACACGTTGGCACCGCGCAGATGTAGAAGTGTATATCAATGACGTAGGTATTTGATAAGATGGGCTTCGTAAGCGTGGTGCTCATCATGCTCATAATACATAAATAGGGTATCGTTTCCCTTGGTACAGCAGGTATATACAACAAAGATTTTCCCCATGTCCAAAAATGCCAAAAACACCATGCGATGCAAATATTCCATACAAAAAGATCCAAGGCGAGATCGGAAACATCAGTTCAGACATGCGCCTTCTTCCTCCCTCTCTTCTCACCCTCCTTCCTCATGCGGCCCAACCTGGTCCCGCTACCAGGCTGGCTCGCCCTCCACCACGTCAGGGGTTTGATCTTGACATGCCAACCGCATTCCTCCACCGATTCGATCCTCTGTTTGGAAACAATGTTGCGGATCTGTTCCGTTGCAGCGAGGGGCATGTAATGTCCTGGTGCGAAGAAGTCACGTTCGGCGTCGCCCCGAAGCGCTGGACTTAGTCATGAGAAGAAGTACTTCGATTCGCGGAGACGAGATACGTCCCAGCCGCCCTTTTGCGGAACAGGTGGGAAGCTGAGTGGGATCCAGACTTGAATGGTGCCCTGATCGTATGCGACACGGGATGCGGACTTCTTCTTTGTCGCGTAGCGACCGCCTTGGGGGTCTTTTGCAAGATCTTCGGCGTCTTCTTCCACAATGTCCATAGTGGATTCGGTGGTGGTGACGGCGTCCTCTTCTTCGCCCAAGGCCTCGTCCTTGACCTGTGTTTCCCTGTCGGCTGACTTCTTATCTTTGGTCTCCCCAAGAAGACTGAGCCTGTACGAGTGAAGCGCCTTAGGATCCTGGTTCTCAAGCCAGATGCTGGTGGGCGTGACCATCTCTTCACCTTGCTTCCTCTTCTCGGGATCTTGGCTATTTAGAAGCTCTTGCCGCTTAGCCTCGAGCGCAACTTCCTCGAATGAAGCATCTCCGTGCCGTGAGCCATTAGCTTTCGAAAGAATGCCCTTGGCTTGACGGCGCTCATGTCTCCACAAGGTAATCTTCCGACTAACGTCCGCGCCGATATGAAGGGTAGCACGGTACATAGCACCTGCATAACGCGCAGTAAACTCTGCAGCGAGACGGTCGACGATGTCTTCGGTGTGCATTCGCACAAAGGCATCGCGGAGGATAACATTGAGATTGGGGATGTCGGAAGCGTGTGTCCAGAAACTGTCGTGTACGGCGGCGAAGTCAAGACCCATCTCGCTGGCCTTCAATGCCGAGAGCAGCATGTGGCTCGCATCGAGAGAGTGGATGAAGTTGGGCGGAAACGCTTGAAGCTGTTTGCGTTTGTCGACTTCATCCTGCTGAGACTTCTTGGCGACTGTGATGTCTTGGATCTTGGTCTTGATCTTTTGAAATCCATCTTTCCTGTAGGGCTGCACAATGGGCATCTTCAGCGGGGTAGTCCATATGATGCTAGTCGTAAAACTCTCCATAGCCTTGTTGAGTTGCTTTAGTTGACCTGCAGAGACCTTTTGTGGCGCCTTAAATTTCGGATCGTATAGTGCTCCAGAAGGGTCTGCGCCATCGAAGCGGTCTTTGATCCGTTTGATCTGCTCAGCAGTGATTGATGTCGTTATGCGCTCGCCACATTCGCCAAGCCAGTATTGAATTTCTTGAGCACCGTTGAAGATTTTGCCCAAGGCGTCAAAGATCTTGTAGGCAATGTACAACGCGACGCTTCCGAGCGAAGAAACCTGTTTTGTAGGCTCGAAGTTAGGGAACAAGTTGCGTAGCTCGTCTTGCACCTGCTGCTTCGCACCCATGAAGGTAACTCCATAAACATTGGTCATGACTGTTCGCTTCACAACTTTGCGTGTGATGTGACCGTTGATGAAACAAGCTTGTGCTAGACCTTTCTCGGCGTCTTTTGCGACCATCTCTTTGACAAGTTCAGCAACACCAGTGTAAATATCCTGTGGTCTGTCGGAAGGCTCAAGATTGACCTGACGAGCACCGGCGTAGTCACCACCGAGCGCTGCGTAATGTTGGAGTCCGTTACATGTTCCATCTTGATGAACAGGTAACTGTGAAACAAAACGAGTCGGATCAGGCAGATCATGAGCGTTCTTCAGCTCCATGCAGCAAGACAAGCATTGCCATGGGTCTTCCGCCTGAGTCCACCACCGTCTGCCGCCCAGAGGATTTGTCGCAGAGTCGTAGATCTCTTCCAGGTTATCCATGGTGAACTGTTCACGTTCTCGCAGACTAGCCTTATCGTAACCGTAAAGGTTGGCAAGATGGATCTTGAGCCACTGTAAGCCGACAGTACCGAGCTCTTTGCCATTCGCAAACTTCAGGAGTCCTCTCGAGATATCGGATCCGATGTGATTGAGGATAGGCGGGATTGGATAGGCACGACCTCGGAAGTCGACGCTGTGCGGGAAGAATATCTGCTTTTCGTTCACGTATGCTCGTGCCGTCTCTAGCTGGAAGTTTTGGAAACACCGCTGGGAATGCAGACCACCCACGCTGTTCTCATATTCCTTCAGAGCCCTGCCCCACTTTGCCCGTTCCTGTAATGTGGCATCTCCAGAAGGTTCTTTGGGACGTTTGAGGTTAGTAACAGAGTCTTCTCCTACAAGAGACCCAATACTCTCGCCAGAGTTCCACGCCTGAGCCATGACCTCGAAGACAGGAGTATTGATCTGCCAAGGTACACGACCGAGCACGTCCAGACCAGCCATGACTTTGTTCATGTCACCGTTTTCGATGGCTGACTTGGCATAAGCACGCTGTGCGCTATCACCCGCCTTTTGGCGCACGACCTTCTGCGGGATGGTGTAGTACCCCCCATCTTCAAAACTGGACCATGGTTTGGGTTCTACTACCATTGGTAGCCTGACTGAATGGATGGCATGCACAGAATCGGTTCGTAACTTGGTAACAAGCTCATGGTGAGGCACGAGTAAGCCGAGCTTTTTGCCTTGATGATATCCGACTGCATGATGGAAGGCGGCCATATTACGGGACAGCGTCTTGCCAGTTCTGGGGTCGTTTGCGGTCACAGTGAGGGTTGCGCTTTGAAGCAAAAGCTCTAGACAGAGAGCCCCAATCCGGGTTCGTACGGATAGTGGTATGTCGGCCTTTTCGATTTGATAGCTCATTTTCGGAGGTGCTGGTGTAGAAGAAGCCCCTTCGGTATCTTTAGTCTCTTTGGAAAGTTTCTCAACCAAATTCATCCTGGTCTGCTTGCGCTGCTTGCGGAGGAAAGCATCACGTCTCGTTTGTGACTCGGCGTTGAGGTAGTCTTGGACGTCAGTACCGATGGAAACAGACAGAGCGGCGACTTTGTAGGCGGAGTTGTCTTCGTCTTTGCCCTTTACTGCAGCCTGAGTAGCGCGAGCAACCGTGATTGCGGCCAACTTTTCAGGCCTGCATCTCTCCAGCCAAACACCGTAGGAAAGGGCTTCATCACGCGTCTTGACCTTTTCGGGATCGGACAAGGTGTCCTTGACGTTTGCAATGCGCTGCTTGAACAGCGGTACGAGGGCCAAGTACCAGCCGTACATGATGGCCTGTATGGGCTTGGAGTTCATAACGCCATAGATACCAATTTCTTGCATCTTCTCATCTTCTTGTTTCCATCTCTCAACAGCAGCTTCTACTCCATCCTGTTCTATCTTCAGTTGTCGTGCGTATGCGTAGGCCCTGTCCTTGTCTTCTTGGGTCCCAGGCATATCATGGGGGTAGGGAACGCTTGACCCGTCGTCGAACATGGTGAGGGCTTGCTTCAGCGAGTCGAGACCCATGCCCTTCTGCCTCACGGGCTTGATGGGCTGTGCTGGATTGGACACCAGGCCGTGGTCTATGAGGTTCTTGCGACCGGAGGGAGTGGCGACGTGGAGATCCTGGACCTCTTCGACCGAGGGGGGTTCATTGAAGGACTCCGGTTGCAGGCGGATCAATAAGTCCCACTCCTCGTCTGAGAATTCGGGGGAGGCGTTGATCTGGTCGAGAACATGGTCGCCGTGTCTGCGTGCGGTTGCAATGTATTCCCGTACTGCGTTTTCCTGCGCGCCCTCTTCTAGGAAGCTCATAGCCGCCCGGATTAGGGTAACAAAAGTCTGCGCATTGGGCTGGATGCCCTTTGCGACCATGTTGTTCTTGTACCAGTCTTGGACTTTCTGCATGCCCTCGGCACTTGGGTCCATCTGGTTGCTCTCGAGCAGCGTCTGCAGATAGACATTGTTGGCATCCAAGAGCTCTGCAGCTTCGGGATTGAAGACGGAGGCGAGGCGGGCGATGATGCTGGCAGCCCGGTCCAGACGGCCAACCCGCAGACAGGCGTAGAGGTTCTGGTGTAGCTCGATGGGGTCGGCACCGAGGCCGTAGACAGAACGCATCGGTGGGGATGCCGCTAACGTGTCACGCACGACAAGAGGGTTCGTAGCGTCCCATGGCTGGAGCCGCGACAGCTCAGGCGATTGGAACTGGCGACCCAGCGACAGCGCAAACGGGTCGAAGGGGAGGGCCGAGGGCGGTGGGGGTTGCATCTGCGCAGACGTGGCGAGGGAGCGTGTCTCGTGCCGTGACGACAGTGAAGTCGGCCGTTGCCGCTGCCGTTGCCGTTGGCTCGCATCATGTGGTGTGTGTGAGGTCTTGCGGGAGAGCGCTGGGCAGAGCCATGGCAGCGTCAATTGCTGCGACAGCGTCGAGGGCGTCGTGTAGGCATTTCTGCGGATGTTCCGCCCTAACGCTCGTGAGAGCATGTCGTGGGAAGGAGCGTGGCGCGTGCAAGTCTACGGGGTATTAAACAGATAAAAAAGAAAGAAAGACCAGACTGCTCAACGCCAGAAGACAAGTGGAAGGGACGATGCAGTGAATCGGGGGTATCAACTGGCCGTCGAGTTGCCTCGCAGTTGAAGTTTCTCTCTCATGGAAATTTTGGCCGACCATCAGATCCATGCCCGCGTCATCACCGAAACGGCATCGCCCCACCTTGGCGCCTTCCTCGCCACCCGAGCCACTAGCCACGGCCCTGCGCCTCTAGCACGAGATGATTACATAACACCTCTGAGTCTGTCGAATGAAAGTGACATTATACACAATACATTGATACATTTGGGATGAACATATCATCCTTCTACACTTTGCCCTGTAGGTCTCGTGATCGTCCTCTCCCTCGTCGACGTCGCAATAGGTAGCGCATCCTCAATCAACTTCTCCAACTCATCATCAATGGGCGCATCAAACATCTCCACTTCTCTAGTCTCATCATCCACCCAGTCACTACCGTCCTCGTCTCCAAAGCAGAACAAATCGCTAGCTTCACCCGCAACAACCTTCTTATGCTTGCCTTTGGGTATCTTACAGCCTCCAACTTCCGTGCGGAACAAGTCGGCATATTTTTTCGCCACGCTAGATATGTTTGCAGGAGCAATCTGTTTCCCGTCATAGAGAAGGTGGGGTAGGTGAGGTATCTCGGGCAGGTCGCCTTTGAAAGGCAGCGCTTGGTGGAGGGGCACTGAGCCTGGGATGACTGGCGGTTCGGGGTTTTGAGGTGGCTTGGGTGGTGCATCGGCGCGCAGAAACGGTGCATCTGTCTCCTTTGGTACGGCTGGACTTTCTTTCCCGTCCTCGGATGGCGTCGCGGAGAATTCCTCGGGGATGTGATACAACTCGTTATGGATGGTGACCAGTGCATTTTCCATTGTTGCGGGATACAGCAGCGAATAACCCCGCGCGCGCATGAACTCGAGCATGTACTCTGTCCATGCCGGAAGAGTCTCGGACACCAACTTTCCCCGAGATGCTGACTTGGCCGACTGCTGGTGTTTCACAACACGGTTGCTGAGGAATGAATGCAATTCTGCCCATTTGTCCCCCAACAACAACACCGCATGGCTGTTCGGAGCCTGCCACATGTAAGGCACGCTTTTAGCATCAGGATATAACTTCTTGTACCGATCCGTGTGCATGTCGCTAGTCGAAGGAGCCTCCAGCTTTGTCTTGCCATCTAAGAGCATTGGTGGTAACTCCAGGCTCATGCCCATGAGCTTTTCGTTATCCTCTGCGCCGTAAGTAGAGTACTTGTATTCCAACAACGCATACTTGACGAAGTGGAAGTACTGTGGCGAGAGCTGAGCCTGCGGTGAGAGCAGTAGCACGTGCGAATTGGCTATGCTTGCAGGGTAGAACAATTCCAAGAAACGTGTCGCCGATTCCTCTTGATCATGGCGGTGAGTTGAGATGCGGCGTCTGATGCTGAGACCGCTTCCTGTCGTTGGGTTGTCACTCTTTGGAGGCCATTTGAAGCTTTCAATGTGCTCCTTAACGGATACATCGAGCTCGGCTGGTAGCTCGATCGTGATGCGGGGCAGTGTCAGACCGCTGTAATCAGCATCTTTGATCGACTCTAGCAGCCGAAGAACACTGGATGAGCCCGACGGGACCTGTATCAGAATGTCTACAGTGGGATCGTGCCAGTGCTTGAGCGAGCCGGCGTCAAGTCGCGAGACCCAGGCAAAGTCCTCTAATCTATCCTTTGGTACTTCGACAAGAGGCATTTTTAGCGCACCAGTTTTACTTCGCATGCCTCGCACGAAGAATGCATCTTCAGATATGGAGTCGTCGATAACGACTGCTTGTGGATGCAAGAAGCTGTTGATGTGCGACATGGCTCCTGTCACCGCCGTCTCAGCGCGTACATCGGTGCTGTACCTATACCCAGAATTTGATTAGCCCTGGCTATTTTCAAATAATATACTTGGTCTAGACATGTGCTTGCCACTACGACATTCCTTTGGTGCTTGGGCGAGTGTACATACTCTGTATAATCCGGCCGCGCATCATGCCACACGGCAGGACACTTAACCTTGTCTATCCCATTTATCTCTAGCAAATCCTCTATTGGTATATCCTCCCTCCCCATGAAAGTCGCGTGTACGTGGTTCCTGTTCCATTGCGACATGTCGCACACCATCGGCAAAAGCGTCGAAACGCTCTTCAGATTCGACATGGCAAACAGTATATTCCTATTCTTCTTTTCGTAGCCACCCGTTGCCGAAGCAGACGAGCGCAGCGAGCTAGCGAGACGGAAGAAGCGTATCTGCCCATCGTATGTATGCGGGATTGGATCCCCGCGTCGAGGTTTTTGTATGCCCGGGGGCGCACCCGTGGGTTCGTCGTCGTTGCCGCTCGCGCCCGGCTTCTGATACGTCGATGAGATGGGCCGTCCGCGATATCGCTGTTCGACCGGTTCTTCGAGGTCGTCCGAGCTGCCGTGGAAGGTGTAGTACAAGAGGCATAAGGCTACTATCGCGAGTAGTATTCTTCTCCGTCGCCAGCGGAATGTGTGATTCCACATTGACCAGCTAGACTGTCGCGCGGGTTTGTATCGGTGGTCATCGTCTTTCTTGCCCAGCTCTTCATCGCCTGGGAGCGTCGTCTTTCGATACATGGCGCCGCCAATGGAGCTTCGCTGTAATCACGCGTTTCACAAAGCTTGTCTCTCCGCTAGCATTCATCCATGGCGATGTCGGAGTAAATGTCGCGTGCGATTATACGTGCGGGCGGCGGAAGCTGTGGGAGCATGCGACGGGTTGCTGACCTCAGCTATGGGGGCAATACGGAGGGTCCAAAGTCGAGAGAAACGGATGCGCGAATCCTGAAATCATGAAAACAACATAACGGGTTGAGTAAGGCCCCTTCAAAGGCGTGTCGGAGGCAATGGAAGAGGACATGCTGGAGTTGCGATAACCTCGATTCATTGTCCTCTCGGAAAGCACATCCCTGCAACGCATCATCCCGCTCGCTTGCAGCTGCCGCCACGTGCCGTCTACGCTACTGCGAACCCTCTCCTGCTTCCCTCGCAACTGCCATCTCGTCCCAAAGTCACGCGTGAGCTGCCACATCATCGCTTCTTCGACTGTCCGTATTCACGTGCTGCATACGATCGTCACGCCGGTTCGCAACACAGCTGTGGAGCTTTGCGGACGCCAAAAGCCATTTCAATTAATCAATACGCCCACGCCGGACCAATCTATCCATCTACTATTCAAATCTTCTCATGCTCAGCCAATCGCTCATCTGCCGCCTTCAGAGCCTCACGCAGTACCTGCTCATTCCGCGGCTTGAAAAGAATCTGATAAGGCCGGCACATAGTCACCAGACTGGTAGGGTCTGAGCTGCCCCGGACAGGGTGCACGTCCACCTCCGACTCCGATACAAGCTCAAAGCTGTTCAGCATGCGCAGGAAAACGAGATACAGCTCGCGATTGGCCAACAATGAGCCTGCGCACATCCTGTAACCCAGCCCGTATGTGTGCAAAGGTGCATCCGGCTGCTCGAGCCAGCGCTCTGGGCGGAACTCGTCTGGGTCGCTCCAGACTTCGGGATCTGTGTGTGGTCAGTATCGCTGTTGCTGGTGTGAATGATAAAGACTGAGAATGGCTTACCCATGTTGCACGCCCATGCGTTCAGATATATCGTACTACCAGCTGGGATGAGCTTGCCCTCGTACATTACATCCTTGATTGTCGCACGGGGCAGCGCAAGACGTAGTACGGTATAGTAGCGCAGACACTCTCTGACCAGTGCGACAATATATCCGCACTTCTGGTCGTCATACGCATCCGCCAGCGGCTCGTCCGCCGAGTAGAACTTCCGGATCTCCCTGATGGCCTTTTCTTGAATGTCAGGTCTCTGAGCCAGCAACGCGACACTCCACTGCACAAGGGTCGTAATTGTGTCTAGACCGCCAGACAACATTGTCAGACTGATGGACGTCAACTCCTCCTTGTTCAACGCGGCTTCCTTGTCCTGGATGATATTCGCCTGGATACATGTCTTGTGGGTGCCTTTCTCCATCCGTTCGTCCAGTTCGCGGTTCAACTTGGTCAAATACACATCCCTTCGGCGCCGGTGCTCTTTCGCAGACTTTGTGCCAGAGCTGAACGGGTTGAGTCTCAGCAGCGGAATGTAATCTTGCAGGTTTCCAGTCGTACTACGGAACTTCGAGATGGCTGCTTCGACCTCGCATATCTCATGGAACATGGGGTCGTGACGACTGCTCATCCGCGTTCCCCAGTTGAGAGTCAGCGCAAGAGAAAGAGAGAGGCGCTCGATCATGGGCATTGGGTTTACCCCAACGGTACCGGCTTGTCCTGACTCGAATCCGTCCTTTACAAACTCCTTCGTTTCAAGATCTAGATGGTCGATGTATGTCGCAATCGAAGGCTTGTTCAGTGCGGCAGCAGCGCCCTTTCTTCTCCGCTTGAGCGAATCGTTGAAGGGTGAAGTTCCGATGGTCGTCCCCGCAGTGTTTGAAAGTACCTGCCATCAGTCAGACATGTTAACACACCCATCTCTCTCCGCTTGCCTTATGAAACGTCCAGAAAACTGGTCTCGAACTCAGCGCCTGGCTATTCCCACCGAAGATCTTCCTCGCAGCCTCGGCGCTGTTCACTACAATCACCGGCTCGTTCCCAAGCTGTATTTGGTACACAGCGCCAAACGTCTTACTCCATTCCTGGTATTTCTCCGCCGCATTGTACTTGATATCCGGGATATTCCCAACCAAAGGCCAGTTCGTCGGCCCCGTAAAACCCTTGATCCGCCGCGAATATCGCACATATTCGTTTCCGACAAGGTAAGAGATAGGAACAAGTATCAACAAGACGAACAGCGTGCGAACTGGATGATCTGCAAACTGCGATGATAGCAGCGGGAGGATAGTGGAGATCATGGTGTTCGCTAGTGGCTCCTTGGAGCGCTTGCCGAAAACAACAAGGTGAACAAAGGTTGATGATGGACCACGACGCGATAGTGCCCTTTTACTAGCAAGAGCCGGACATTCTATATATCTACCGTTTCTCGACCATGGCGGATTCCCCGGGCTTGATGTGGGTGAGGCCGGCTATTGCGGGGAAGAAGGTCCGCTGTTGGGGCCGCGGAATTAGGCGATGGGGAGTGCGGAACTAGTGCGCGCAGAGAGCACTACGCCATTGTCGGTTGCTCTCAACATTTTCGAGGACAGGATGAAGTTGTCGCTTTCGCAATTCAGAACGGAGGTCATGTTTTCGACCATCCTACAAGCTCGTGTTGGTCTACGTCACCGCCGTTTCCACTCACTCTTCGCCCAAGTACCACTTCCCACATCTCCGCCTCTCGCGGGTGCATCACACTCATGAGATCCTCATAGTCATGCTCGAGCACCTGTTTCAAAGCAAGCCGCCGTCATGAATTACTCGACTCATTGTTTGACCTGGCCGGGTCGCTTTGACGGCACACACGCCTCAAGGTCAGTGCGCGACAGTGCCCCTGCTATCTATTACTCGATATGGTTCTCGCAAGGGCTTCACGGACGCACCAACATGCTGATCCAACATAACCAAAACTTCTGACTCGAAAATTTGTAAATACATGGATAGAAACACCGCGGGAACCTCAGCTCTGGTGCCCACAATGCGACTCACAAACGGGTGATACCCGTGGACATGTGGGTATCGCAATGAGTCCTCACACCGTGTTGATTCACCATCTACTCATCTATGGCTCATTATTTTGAGTCAGAGATGGAGTGCAGAGTATATAAGAAGTGCTGGCCGTAGATGTACACCACGGCACTTCCAAGCAATCAACAAAAATCAGTTACTGCAACAATCATGCCTGAAATTACCAATCCTGACGCGCTTACGGCTCCATACGGATCATTCCGAAGGCTGACGAGGGTCGAAGAGCCTAACAGCTATATGGCTATCCTTCAAATCAAGGACATGACTCCCGCCGCAGGTTTCGACTCCAGCGCATCTTTTCATATAATTCTGCTCGGTCCGTGGGAGCGGGACCAGATCGTTGACAATACCCATCGGTGTGGAGCAACTTCTCAAAAGGATATATCGACTTGGTGCGACGGCCAAGGTTGGCCAGTCCAAAGTTACTACATCCCAAATGAGGATCACCATGGGGTCGTCAACAGATGCGTTGCAAATGCAGACGTATTGAAATTCGGGGAATTCATCCAAAACAAACCCGATCAATTAGGTCACAACCTACATTGGTGGGGAATGAGCAAAAACTGTATGTTGCCGAAAGTTTGGGGTGGTGGACCTTTTCAGGGCGCATTCCCGATATGATAGCGGCGACTGATCAAACCACAGTGATTCTTGCACGTTACAGGGCTCTGAATACAATATTCGAGCATAATCTACACATTTCCCACGTAATACATGGAGATAATGTCAAACCATACCTCGTGGAGCCTGTGGCAGGGGAGACTTTACCTCCCCAAAGCAACACCTGGATCTTCAAATGCAGAAGAGCACCAACCAGATACGGGTATCATGAGATTTCGGGCTGGGGATATACGAATGACAGAGGTCTCGTCCTGAAGATCGCTGAATCTATGGGAAGAGACTTTGAGGTCAATGGGCTGAGATTGAAGAACGATCAAGAACTCAAGGTCTTTGTGATCGCAATGGATAGATTCACGACCCCTTTTGGGGTAGGTCATTGCTATCACGCGCCTGAATATCCACTCGCTGCTCATTCATGGGTAGTCCGAAGCGAGAATGGTAAGTTGCGTATGTATCGATAGGACAATGTGCTAACTCGGAAGCAGTAATGCACGAAATCGAAAGTAACGAGTGGGTCGACGACATGATAGTCAGGGACAAACACAACCAGGTTGTTGAGAAGAAGGAAGCATGGCGAATTGGAGAGCCCATCTAGGAAGCTCCAGTCATTGGATGCTATCTCGGATACGAGCATTTGTCTACCCATTGAAAAACACACTCTCTTTAAACTCAAATCTTCATTGATGTAGGAGAATATCGAAAATGCAGCCATCTTTTGTCAACTTCATCACATTCTTGTAGTGGAAAACAACCTTGCAAAAGGAATGTTGACGCTGCTCTCATAAAGTAAGTAGCTCCTTTGCATAGGCTTGAACTCAGCTCAATCATAAACCGTGTAGGGTTTCAATACATTGCAGTACATACAAGAGCGCACACGATAGTTGCTCTTTGCGCAACCTTATGATCTGCTCCATCACCCATTAAACACCATCTTGAACATTTACTCCCATTCATTGTCCAGGTCGTGGCTGGATACATGAAGAGTTCAAATGATATGTGCCCTTCCGCGTCGTCTTCTGCGGGGGTGCATCATGTGCTTGCCAGCGCAGCGACTATGGCGACATGGAACCTAAGGATGAGAAGTCACACTAAGTCGATTCCAGGCTTGTACAGCCCCAGAGAGAAGTCCATGTCACATCAAGGCTATGCAAAGGTGAATGCTATAGCTGAATAGTCCCACGCAACTGACGAAGAGTCAAAGAGACGGAGAAGACGACCGGAGATGATCGCAGCGAATCACAAGAGCCTCGTTGCTAAGTCTGGACAATGGCATCACCGCTCAGATGCGCGGCCCGCTCCACGTGAGCAGCGCGGCACCGGAACG